TTGGGAAAAAATCCAACGTGTGGTTTAGGCTGTAGTCGAGTTTACAGACGGAAGTTTTGCCGTCAATTGGTTTTTCAGTATTAAGGACCCACAAAACAGGGATTCTGGCTACCCTGCACGTTTTAGAAGATTTTTTGTTCATTTATCAACTGGATTTATCCACTTTTCGTTATCAGGGCCCGACAATGAATTTTTTCTGCTGAAAATGCGCCTATTTTTCGAGCAACATAACATACGTTTCCTAATACTACGTATTGAAACCTGTTTTACTTTACTTGTAAATGTTAGAAGTTCACACCTGTGATCTGTTCATAATCAACAGCCAAAAATAATTACGAAAATACTTTCTTAAATACAGGATCTTTCTTTTTCGTCTTAGAAAAGGAATTATGATTCAGGAAAATTTCCAAACCCACATACATATATTCTTAAAAAAAACAAAACAAAAATTACCCTTTGTACAAGTTTCTGTTTTCTCTTGAAGAAAAAAATGACAAATCAACAAATTCAAATACAATTATATAATTTTTAACACTTTGACAACAACATAAAGGGAGCATCAAGCACATTTTGTAGAGTTAAACTTACATGCACATTCTGAGCACTCATTACAACATTCACTTGTTACTCTCTGCCTTTACTTTTTACTTTTGCAGGTTCTAATGACCGCTATTTACACTGGAGGAAGTCGTGACACGCAACCACTAAACATACGCATTGAAGGGGTGGCTTGGGGCACTACGGAAATACTATCAAGAGCCTCCTACGCCTTAGCGAACTTGATGCTTCTCGTAGTCATGGCAAGTTCGGGGCGAAAGATAAGGAGAAAGAAAATAGGAAAGACGATTACCGATCTCTTCTCGGGGCCTTGCTTCGCCCAACGGCGCGAAGCTTTCGACGGTCAGCGGGCAGCTTCAGTGTCCGTTTCTCTTCTGCGTTCTCACCACGCTCACCACCACTTCCAAATAGCACACTTTTTCCCGACCTTCATCTCTCGCGTCTCAAAGCCTTCTCTTCACGTTGCTCCCTACCGCGTCGGTCGGCACGGACACTACAATTCAAATATCTCAGAATGTATATAAACACGGGTTTCCAACCTCTTGCAGAGGGCACTGCCCGCGCTATTTCAATGTAGCGTTGTCAACCACAGATAGGTAAAGGTTTCATATGTTGAAAATTTCTTTCATGCCCAGATTTTTCAAATATGTTCAGTATCAGGCATTGGACTTGCCAATGAATCGTAGTCGCAGATAATGTTAAACTCCCTATCAAAAGTTCCCAACACCCAATGGCCTCGTGTGTTACCTCCATACGGGTTACGACCTGGTCTTGTTGCAATTTCAAAATAATAATCGCCTTAACAAATACTTGCAGGTTGTGATGTAATAGTTGAATTTTAGTACAGCTATATTTTTTAGCTTTTTTGCTGATATGCACATAGCACATTTGCATTACAAGAAATGCTAATGCACAAAAACAGAACATTCCTAATTAGTTTAGAAAATTCTGTCGCAACATCTTTTACAATTACATTTGATTCTTTCCCGGATTTCCTTAACACGTCCATATTTTTCTCCCCAATTTTTTGATGATATTGAAAGAGAACTTATTTGTGTTCACTTCTGCTTCTGCAATTGCTTTATTAATTGTTATAAAGCCGAATCGAGCTATTACAGGCAGATTTAACATTAAAAGGCGACTTTTTTATGTTTATGTGAATAAGGTGTTAGTTAATTTTAATAAACATAAGTTCTAGGTCACATTGATTTGAAAATCGGTAATTGCACACTTATGTAAAAACGTAAAATTGAGAATTCGAACACAACTCATTCATTCTCTAACATTACTCTCGGTTTTGTTTTCTCCATATTCACATGAAATTCTTTAAGTTTTATAACATCCGAGGCAAAATCAGTTCGTAGGTTTTCGCAAACGTATTTTTAAAAATTTGTTAATCCGAATCAAAATTTAAACCAACCTGCAGCGCGATTTACTTGGTAATTCAATTATTTACTTAAAAATGCCAACATCAGGGTTGTCAAGGTCGCGAAATATTTTTTTTTTTTTTTTTTTTTTGTATTTTGCTAAAAATTTGTTTGGGTACGGGTGTTTAATCAATTCCACCTCCATAGATTGATTTAGGAGGCGTTGGTTTAATTCCTGGCATTATTACTAAGATAGCAGCACCAAAACACGAAAAAACACGTTTTTGGAAATTTATTTGAATCTTCTGGTCGAATCCGAAAACAAATGATCAGTTCTCCATCATGAGACCAAGACACGACGAATGACACCTCATATGTCTCGATTGGCGAACGGGAACTACCCTACACGCCAGAGGCGCAATGGCAAAAACACACATCTGCACAGTCCACACACTCAAGAGCTTCACTGAAATACTGCATAGTGATGTAGGGACTAGTTGAATTCTCGTATGGTGACGCCGACGCGTAGTGTGTTAAAAGTATTTTCATATGTTGAAAATTTATGTTATCTATAGCTTTGTTCAAAAACGTTCATACAGACTCTAGCATTGGACATACCAACCAAGCGTAGGAGCTATTATTTTACTCCTATTCAAAAATTTCTAACACCCAATGGCCTTGTATGTTGCCTCCTTAGGGAATATGAACTGGTAATGTTGCGTCTAGCTGCCAGTGACAATCTCACACATCTGCATGCAAGTTTTACTCGAATACTGTACACTGATTACTCGGCACATACGTATGTGTACGGGAAAGTAAAAATAAGCATTATTGGTCATAACTTTTTTCTCAAGAACATTGTTAATTACTTTCCCGTATACGTGCGTATATGCGTGGTGTACGGAGTTATATAATGCTGCGTAAAATCGATTTCGAGATTTCAAAGAAATGCCCTTTTTGGCGTCCCTTGATACCCAAGAAGTGTTTTTATTCAAAACGTCTATCTGTCTGTGAATACCACTAGCGCCTAAGCTATTCATATATATATATATATATATATATATATATATATATATATATATATAAATTAAAGAAACCCTGGTCCATCTGGCTCAAGTGGAAGCTTTTGAGATTTAGGAAAACTTTCTTTAAAATTTGGGGGTACTTGCATGAAGCTCCTAAGGTTTTTTCAAAATTTTCCCAAAAATGGCTCCAATGATTTTCTTTAAACTTTTGGTAGGGATAGTGCTAAATGGACTCTCTATGAGATGACAAACGCCATGCTGCTCTATTATTTTGCTTAAAAAAATACAAACATGTAATTTGACTTTTTCCTCATGACGTTAATATTTATATAAACAGCAATTTTTTCTCATTATTATATTTATGAGTACATGTGTTTTAAATGATGTCATAAATTTTCGCGATAACTCAACATTTTCTGTGAAAACTAGCTCAAAATTTCGCAATTTCAGAAACGCTCACGCGCCATTTTCTCAAAAATTGTTCCAAATTTTTTTTTTCAAAAATTTCAAACGGATAGTGCTAATTGCATGGTTTAATATCACATAGAATTAATTTTTGCTGTATATTTTGTTTTATCAAAAATGACACACATGCAATTTTTTAATAAATATCTTCCGCGCCTTTAATAAGCTCATTTTCAGCGATTTATAAACACTATTGTATTTGTGACTCGAAGTGCTTAAGATTACATCATGTGAAGTTTTTTGAGGACAATTTCGTGAAAAACAGCTTTAAATTTCGCATTTACAGTAACGCTTACGTATCATTTTCTTAGAAACGCCTCGAAATTTTTCAATGAAAATTGCCAATTAGGACGATGTTTTACTTTTTTTAATTCTTAAAGTATTATTTCAGTTCTACTATTATGAAAACGAAAATAAAATAAAAAAGTTTGTTGGAAGGCGATATATGTCTGCTGGCAAGAGTATGGCGGAATAACTAGCCGGGAAAGTGTGTGCCATTCGATGTGCCATGTAGAACTACTATTTGCCATTTGTATTGACATCGTGTCCCCTAGCGACGCGTTGTACAGAGGTGGATTTATTGTTAAAGCTAAAAAAGCTACACCTTGTAGCATCGAAAAATATTACAGAAAATTGTAAATATTCTAAAAGAATATACGTACTTATACAAATTATGTATAGTTTCTGAAAAGAAATAAAAAATAAATTTGATATTGGAGTTAAAAACATATTTATTCTAAGATCAGGATTCTCATTTATTACGTGCTGAACTTGTTGAGTCCATGCCAATTATATTTATATACATTTTAAACTTGTCGTGCCAACTCAATTTACTAACAATAATGTTCTGTGGAAATGTTAAACTCTGAGCTTTTATCTTTCGACGATACTATTTCTGATTTTGGGAACGTACACTGCATTTTTATCAGTTTTGTTTTTAATGATTAATAGTGTTGAATTATGTTGTAGATAGTTAAAAATATATATTTATATATGATTATTACATTATAAACGTGAGTTATTAATTTTTAACTTAAAATTAGTATGTAATTATTTTTTAATTATTTTATCAAATTTGAATAAAAAGGTTATCTCCACTATAAAAAATGTTATTGTTGACAGTAAAAGGAGGTGCCTCGAAGTGGTAAATCCGCCCCTGGGCCGCGTCAAGGGCGAGGTGGCGCGCTCATCAGCAAGGACGGCAAGCAGTCGCAATGCCTGAGCGACCTCATCCTGCACCGACCTGCTGCCCCGCTCGCCGCCTAGACCTCGCCACAAACCGCGGCCGCGGGCTGCCAGTGCTGCACCCTGAACTCAATTCTAAGTGCTTCAGATTCAAATGCTCAAGTATAAACGTAACGCAATACTTGTGAAGAATAGTGCATCATTGCCATATTCAAAGATAGTTCCGAATGTAAAGACTTGGGGATTTGGGAAATGTGTACATAACGACGAGAACAACACCTAATGTTTTTCTTTTGTTTGAAAGATTTCTTCAATTGCATAACATGAACATATTGTACAATAATAAAGATCATTTGCATTTTTTATCCAATCGTTTTTACAATACTTTATTCAAATAATTTTCTGCTGCAAAAAAACTAGCCAACAGCAGTCTAAAAATTAGTAGTCACAAAATAGAAATGTTTAATTTATTTTGTGATATGACAACGCAACGTTTTCTTAAAAATAACGTAACAAGAGTAATTATGAAGTTTTGCTCAAAATGAAAGTGTATTCATCTGGAGTGAAAATGACACAATATACATGTACATCACTGTTCTTTCATATGAGTTTCTTTTTGTATTAAATCATTTAACATCATCTGTCTTACTACATGTAACATTAACCACATCATTCCCAACACGAACATCAGAATTAAAAGGATGTGTCAGAAAACTATTATAACTATCAGAAGGGTAATATCCAGAACTAAAATGAAGTTGTGATCTGCAACAATGAATAAGGAAACATTACCATTAATGTGTAAATACATCAAATGTAGGCATACTTCAATAAAATAAAATAAAAATAAATAGCCCACCTAGCTTCTAAGGCATGAGATGATCCTCCACAACAGGGCAAATGAGTTCCACCTATGTAAGTACTCTGAGTCCAGCAAGGGACTCTGGCAGAAGTATTAACATTTACCTGAAATGCAGAATTCATTAAATTTAATACCTTTTTATAAAATAGGAAAATATTTTTTTAAAGGAATAGTAATTTACCCATTGATGAAATCCAGGTTTATGGTATATGTTTGATGGATTACTCTGGGCAGAGTGAAATGATAATGGTAAACTGTGATGAACACTCTGCTGAGATGTGCAGTCAAATGAAGTTGAAACATATCCACTATTATGTGGAAACGGCATTAAGCCAGGATGTGATGCACACATTACATTATTCATAGGAAGAAAGTTGTATGCAAATATAGGAGACACAAGTTGCGATGCAAGAATAGGCGTTGGTAAACAAGGCGACCCATAAAAATTCGGGAAAACTCCATTCACCCCACCTGTCTGTGAATACATCTGTCTTGGTGTGCAAGGTTGAGAACCTGGATTCCTGGGGAAAGGTCCCGGAAAACTTGAAATCAAATGATTGCTACTATTATTTATTTCCTGTTCATGATTATTTGCAATGTGACCCCTTGATTCACAATTCACATTAAAAGAAGAGTGAGCTGGAGGACATGATGTCACATTCAATGATCCATTTCTCAGTAGATTATCAACTAGAAAGTTGTTCACACCAACAGATGAATGCAGTGATATACACGTTTCATTCACAGGGTTTACTTGGCAGGCAATTCTTTCACTGTGGCATGAACATTCTTGAAGTGATGAACTCACAAAATTCTCATGCGCACCATCTCCATGAACTTGGTTGTCACTTAACTCAGGCTGAGTTGTATTAATATCTAAATATTCTGAATTATTCTCAGAGGAAATATTATTTTCACCTTTTTCTTTCTGACAATGCTTTGTAATTTCAGTATTTGCGCAGTCATGAACTTCAGTGAATTCCTGAAAATCTTTATCCCTTACTTCTTTCAAATCAGAAGATTCAGAACTTATAACTGGGCCCATGTTATTATTTGTTGACTCTTCCACAACACCTACAGAATGGACGTCTGGGCCAATGCCCCCTGAAATTTCCTCAATGTTGGCTGTATTTTCTACCTCTGCATTGTTAGATGTTTCAGCATTTACCAATTTCAAATCACTGCAGTTGACAACTTCTTTCTGAGAAACTTTTCTCTTCAAACCAAATAATGCAAGAAAGAGAGACATATCATCCGCTTCATTGCCATTTTGCAAACCTACATTGTTTGAATTTGCATCAGATGAAGTAGATGCTACATCTTGAGAAGTTGTATCACACTCAGAATATTTAGAAGTGGAACATGTCCCTATGTTATTGAAGTTGATTTCTTGTGGTGAATGTACCTTGTGACTGGTAAGAACAAGAGGCTCTTCTGTCTTATTTTGTGTATCATTCTGTTTTTCAGTCAATAATTCTTTGTTTGAACTCAGAAAATTAGTTTTATAAAATGAACCCAGATCAATTAATGGGTTATCTAAAACTTCAGTCTTATATTTTGACAATATTGTGTCCCAGTTCTTGCGTCGACAATAGTGTTTTACTCCAGGTTTGTGCTTACAAACTCGAGATGATCTCCCTAAAAAAGAAATACAGATATCAGAATTTGAAATTAATGTAAGTGTAACAAAATATCAACATAAATGAAAATATTCATACTTCTTTTATCACCATAATTGTAACATTTCCATAAGAAATTTTTGATACCAGGAATTAAAATAGAATCAGAATTTTCTGGAAGATTTCGGAGTGGAATCTAGAAAAAAAAATGTGTTTTTGCATTTAATTGTAAAAATATTTATGTACATCATTTTATTAAATAACAGAAACAACCTTATACTTTTACAATCCTAATTTTTAACACATTAAATGAGTTCAATTTGACCATCAGAAATTATTTAAAACGTTTTCCATGTCCAAATGAGTAACAAACATTAATTTTAAGTTAATTCTTATCTCCAAATAATATATAATTTTTACTATTGCAAGACTAACCAATATTTCCTTTCCTGATATTTAATTTTCTTAGTGTTAACTGTACTTACTCGACATGATTTTGTTGATTCAGTTACACTGGAACTATTATTTATAAAAGGATTCAGTGCAGCAGGAAGGATTGGAAAACCTGTCTTTGTTTCTTCTGTAGATTTAATGTAATGGAATTTAAATTTTTGCTTGTGTGAATTATTATCTTGCAGGTTGAAACAGCTGGCTGCACGTGATGGTAGCTGTGTTTGCTTGAAAGTTTCCCTCTTGATAGAGTCCTTGATTTCTGGATGAACTATTTCTGATTCTTTAATACTTATGTCCGGCAACATATTTGCATATTATTTCTGTTAAGAATACACACTTTAAGAAAATGTTTAGAGATGCTAAAATAACAATTCAAAAATTATTTAGTATTACAAAATAATTACAAATAAAACAAAATTTATTTAGAATAATATAATTGTGGATGACTTGTATTCAAAATTGTGGAAGCTATATTAAAAATCTCTCAGTTCTGTTAAAATTAACATAATTAACTGTTGAGGTTAATTTGGAATATTACTTTATCCAATATATTGATACTTGTATGTATTATGTTCTTAAATTGGTATCTGGATTTCCTTTCAGAATTGCAAGATATTACAAAACTCAAATAGAAAAAAAGGAGGCAACACAATTACCTATACTTTTGATTTTTAAATGTCAGCCATTGTAAGTTGTTTCATAACAAATTGGTTACATGTTACCCAAGTTAGAGTAAAGAATAATAGTTCAAATTAATAAAATATTGTTTTTTAAATTTGTTTTCCTTGAGAATTTTTATCAATTTTTTTCAGTAATCATGATTGTGCCAAGGTAGAGTAGTAGCCTATTTTGCTGGACAAAATACAATCAAAATTTCAAAAAAATAATTCATTTTATTATTTTCTAAAATAATAATGTACGTAAGTATCTAAACCTTAACGTCGAGAAAAGCAATGATATCATTGTGAAATGTAGCAACATTGACTTCCGTGCAATACAGTACTAGTGAAGGAAAACGACAACCTCATTCAAATTCACTACTGAAATCTACATGCCAGATAATGTCTTCCAGAATTATTCCGTCAATTTTCAAATTACTTCAATTTGAATAGTATTAACAAAAGCTGTAACCGTCCATTATTGGAAGTGTCGTAATTGTTTTGCGGCCATACAAATTTGAACACTTAACGTTCTAAGAAATTCAAACCAGTTTTGGGGAGTCATTTTCCTTTCTCGTAACCGTTCTTCAGATTAATTAAATCCCCGCTTTTACTTAGATAAAAACACTGTCGAATTTTAGCCGAAAACAAAAAAAACGCAAATAACTGCCTATGAATTAACAAATTATGACCTTCGTCTTTCAGACACCGTACCAACATCAATTCCTATTCACTTTTATAATTCTCAGACTTCCGTTGATGTTAAATATAAGTTCTTATTTTTAATTATTAAATGAAATTAAAATCTTAAATCACCATTCATTGTAAACAAATTGACCTTTCCTTTCAACAGTGAGATAAAATAAAAACAATACGCTCCTTTTAGAATGTTCTCAGTAATGCCAAATCAAACTGAATCATTTTCACTACCTACCTACTTCATGCAAATCGTATTTTCTGTCAGTCAGATGTTAATTAAATGTTCAGGTATCCTATTTGGGGGAAACAACGTTTGATGAAACTTTGGGGAAGCACGTATTTCACAACAGAAATAATAGTTCAGTCACTCAAGGCGTTGCTGTTAGTGGTGTGAAATAATTCACACCACAACTCACAGTTGCAAGGGACGATCTGTTTAAATCTCGCGCACACATTCACAGAAAGTCGTTCCTTATTACCTGTTATTGTATATAAACGAGTGTTGCTTTTATTTAGGCTTCTACGCAATTATGTATTTCTCCGAGCGATTCTATTGCGTTTCTTCTGTCAATACGTCCCATCTCTTCTGATACACTATTGTCCATCGCGCTCTACGTAGAAACATAAGGGTCTTCAATGGCAAATTAGTTGGTACAAAATTAGTTTTAAATGAAGCTCGATATATAATAAATCACGTGTCCACTACTATGATAGTCAATTAGAATAATCAATGCGCGTGGTGATTTTCCTGGTGTGTTTCAACTCTCCAATCTACCTCGACGGAATGCTCCCATTGTTAATATTGTTTGTTGAGAAACAAAACAGAAATGTAATATACTCGCCTTCAGGATGCATCTCTAATATCAACATTAAGGCCAAATGAAAAAGATTTACTTAGAAAAAAATATTCTTAGAACATAAATATGTAAACGAGAACTTACAGTCAGGTACTTCAGGTCACAGTATAGAAGGAACTACTATAAGAAGCGATGTGTTCATACTACTATTCCCCTAAATCGTTTCCAAAATTACCAAGAACTAATATTATAAGACTTGATAAATGTGGCTTTCAGAACAATCGAACACACGAATGAAATAATTTACCGATAGCTGACATACGATTTTAATCTTTGGAGTAGAATTTGTTTTTATATCTCAAATGCCGCTCTTCTTTATCGTATTGTATTCACCATTGTCTAAATCACGTTACTCCAATAATAAATATGAGAATTTAATTTCCGACTTGCATTGAACATATTGGAGCAATGTGTTAGAAACAATCTAATTTTTTTAGCATGATGACAAAATATATAGAAACAGACATCTATGATCGATTTTCTCATGTGAAGTTGTAAGGAAGTACTCATACGTCTATTATTACTACTACACAATTCTACACGAACAAATTATTCTGGAGATAGGACATTTACTTTATTCTGCCTAGAAAGCTACTTAAAACATCTCAGAAAATTGCCAAAAATACATGACAAGAAAACTAACAAATACAAATTAAGTTCAAAATTTCTAATTGTATTCAATTGCATGGAGGTTGCCTGAACATAATACTAGTTTTTAATTCATGCCCTCTAGTTCTCGAGCAGTTCATTCATAAATAGACTTTACTTTGTTAAACAAGTTAGTCATTGGATGAAACTCAAATCTTAAAATTTGATAGCGACACAAAAATGAGTATTAAGAAGTTTGGTCGAAACCTAACCATGGTTATTTTTATGTGCGGTGACAATGTGTAAGAGCAGAGCACCACTAAAACAAAATATCTTACCGTAGTTCAGAAAACATACATACGTATTGCTAAGGGAAAACGTACCAAATACCTTGCATTTACATGAAATCCCTGCCAGTAACATATCACAGTATCATCCTACAAAACAGTTTCAAATCGTAACATTTTCTCATAAGACAATACGCACAGTAAAAAAACTAAATACATTAAAATAAATGTAATAATAATAATAATAATAATAATAATAATAATAATAGCTCTATTTGACTGCATTCCTATTTATATACCAACAACACGTGACCAAAGATCAAAAACAATAGTTTCTAGCAAGGATAAAATTGGTTGTACAGGACTTAAAATGTGTGTTGGCGCTAATTAATACAACGAAAATATCGTTTTCTCAAATGTTTTCAAATATTTTGTATTCATACCCTAATAAATTACATCCCATTTAAAAACAAGGTGGTAGTTTGAGCAACAAGTAGTATTGATGTTAGTGTATCTACATTGTTGAAAATCAACTCATCTAATCTTTAAGATTTACATGAAAATACTACTTTAATTCTTATGAAAATTAATTGTACGTATCACGATGAAACGTCACTTCCCAAAAGAGGTTATTACAGCAGGCGACGATCTGAGACACAAATTAACATAATGTAATGTTACAATCCCAAACATACCTGTGTTTCCACGCGTCAATAGAGAAATGCAGAAGTATCTCATAAACGAAATATCCGTACCAAGCATCAATTTACTCACTATTTTGAGTAAATGAAAAATCTTTCAAACCACGTTCACAGTTATACGAAAGTACGATTGTTGTGTTCGTAATTGTTGACTCTCCTTAGGAGGCGTCCGAGAAACATGTGAACAGGTCGTTGCGCGGCCATCTGGGAACAGGTCGTTGCGCGGCCGTTTACCCACCCGCTTCCATGCCAAGAGCTGCTGTCAGTGTCAGGATTAAGGACGATGAAATAAACGCCCAACGGTTTAAATAACACGTTTTACAAATGCATTCATTTGTTAGCGTGTGTTTATTTGGGCCAAACTGCTAAAATGAAAATGATAGGTAACATATATATCTGCAGTCCGACCTCCAGCTCCTCGGAGGCTAATAACTATAGACGTTTTCAGTTTTGGAATAAAATTGACGTATTCATGCCGAAACGAGGAATTTACATCGTGGTTTAGAGCAGTCGCGGCAGAAGCAATAGCTTACTGCTTCCTGAATTGATAACTGTTTGGAAATCGAAATTCAAAAATTCAAATACAATAGTATTGCTGATTCGTCGAAGCAAATCTATTGGGCATAACCGATTTTAAATGAAATGATTACACATAAAATGGCTGAGTGATTACAATGTAATCATTGTCGCTTAGCAAGCATGATTAGTAATTATCGTCAGTTTACTAGAAATCGGATTTTTTGAGAAATGTTTTACTGTTTTGACATTGACGCTTCGGAAACTGTTTATGATTTTACGATACTACAGGAACTACTCAATGAATACCGCCTACAATGTGTAGCATAAGAACATGAAACTGTCTCACCTGTTTATATCATTTTCATTTTTTTATTAACTTGACTATTTACAAGCTTATTTCATAATTGAATCGTCTCAAGGAGAGACATATTTTATTTTCTCAGAATATCTTTGCAAACAATACAGTACATTTTACCCGCATTACTAGCGATTATCTCAAATTACAATCCCCTTACACATTACAAGTTCATTTCGTAGCATTCTGGAGCTGAGGCCCCGGTACCGAAAAAGTGGATAAATCCAATTGCTACATTTAGAAATAAACTCCTTTAACACGTGGTGTAGCCAGAATCCTTGTTTTGTGGGTCTTTGAAACCAAAAAATCCAATGACGGCAAAACGGATCTGTCCTGTGAACCGCGGTTCTAGCAGTTGAACCGTTCAGCCCGACTACAACATTTTTGATTAAATTTCATTATTGGATAGTGTAAAGGACATGTAAGAGAAGGGTGCTGGTTTCATTTTCGTTAAAAAGCCTGATTTTTTAAAATTGCAAAAGTTTCCGAGTCTGAAATCTGTTACTTAAAGATAGATTTTGAAATAAGGTCATGTACAATTTTTCGAAAATTTGAGTACTTTTCGCATAATTTTGTCTGGAAATACGGGTGAGAAAGTAAGTGCATTTCTAGCACCACTAGTTCGTGTTTAAAATAGATACGAATAGTAATTCTGTTCAACATTTAAAACCGTGAAATTTAGAAGCTTAACTTTTCAAGAAGTGCGAAATAAATGCTCGCAGTAGACCTACACCGGTACTGAACGTATCTCAATTCATTTTTTTAATTTTTGCATGCAGCTTTCATTAATTAAAGATACCAGCTGGTAAGACTTCAAGCTCAATAAAGAGATGTTTGCTGGTATCACATTTGCCTATTATTTGTACAATTTTTTCTGCAATATAAAAGTCTGGATACAATAAAATGTGCTTTCCTCGAATTATATGCCTCATGCGAATATTATGCCTCATCTCAAGCAGGAATGTGCATTTGCAAAATACATGCAACGAGCTGCGTGAGTTGGAAGAATTTTGAATGCGTTGCGTAGATTTCGATTTAGATGTTCTTAGTCAAAAAATAGTAGAAACTGTATGTGACGTATGGGGGAGAAGATCATCTGCGCACATTTTCTTGAGTTACAGACACCTTCCCATCATTTTGACCATAAATAGTTGAAAGGTGAGTAAAAGTTTAAAATAAATAAATAAAAATAAATTTTAAAAAAGCGCGAGAATAGCAACATTTATAAAACTAGACATTTTCGTTCCAGAGTTATAGAAAACTTATTTTCATTGCTACGCGAATTGCAAGTATATTTTTTTCTGCATAGCTAACAACATAGTAACTCGTTCTTACCTCTTCTTCTACAAGCAAAAGGAGAGTTCAACAAAACGTGCGTAGCTAGTGAAGCTAGTGAAGCTACATTTACGTCCAGAAGCAAAACAAGGAGCCATCTCAGCATTTGTTCAATGAACCAGGTAAACTGGTCAAAAACCTGATCGAGATGTGGGTCATTGACCCGGAAGCTGAAGTACATTACTTGTTTCAGCATATTAAGTCTTTTAAAAAAAATATACAATACTAATTCAATACATGTCACTGTTTTGTAGAAATAAACATTTTTCTTTTTGATAATCAGTATAGTCTCTAATTGTATAGAAACAGTTATGCGGCAGAAAATATTTTACTTTTAACTTCAATTTGTGAACAGACTTCAGTTGTTTAATGTCATCTGTCAGTGCGTTGTAAAGTAACGCACATGTACTGTACGTTGATTTATGATAGTCAACTGTTGATACTCGCACTCGATCGTGATTTTTACGACGTGTTGTAATTATAAATATCAGTATTGTACAAAAATATATTCCCTCCGTTACATATGTCACTTTTGACTAATGATTCGTAAATAAATAGGCAAGGCAATGGTAAGATTCTAAGCTCAGTGAAGAGAGGTTTGCAGAGATTACGCGTATAGCATTTGTTCATTAATCGAATAATCTTCTTTTGCGTAATGAACTTAATTTAGAGTTCAACTTATTTAAATGGATACTCCATTTGAGGTGTGACTGAACTGACATACAGAAAATTTATCGTAACAGCAGCCAATTGCATACGTATTGATCGTATGTTATACATTTCCTTGATTGGAAACTCACAAATATCTCTGATTATCAACTGTAAAGAAAATCTGTGATTGAAAAATTGAATACTCGAAAATAAATTAAATATCTGTATTCGTATTGTATATAATGTATATTCTATAGTTACTAATAATCATATCAATTACCTTTGCCGGATCAATAGAACCGAAACCCTTTCTGAATGGTGGATGATACTCCAGGTCGAAGATCCAAGTCGGCAGACATTTGTATCTAGTGGACTCGCGTTGTTCAGACGAACGAAGCCATTCAATGACGACGTAGTCGATCTTGTTAGTTTATGAATGAGAAGCTTTGTGGAAGTCGTGTGCCTCAAAGTACCTGAAAAGTCCCTCAAAATAGATTCTGACTACACCATGTGTTAGAGGAAGTAATTACTATATATATTCGTAGTAGCAATATTTATCAACGTTGTCGTTATCAAGGCCCAACTAAGTCTCTCTGTCGAAAATTCGGCACTTTCCAATGCACGATTGCAAAACTTTCTCTTCGTACGAAGTAAGGGTGAGAAAGTAAAAACCAACAAAAATAAAATTCAATATTATAGGCCTATTTGTCAATTTATCACTTGCCAGTTTTCCCAAAAATATTAGAGACTTTTATATATATTGTGATTAAAATTTTCTCAGAAAAAAATGCGTTTTCAGACTCTCAACATGGATTTAGAAAATCGAAATCTACACAATTTTTTGTTTTCTTGATAAAGCGAAAATACGTTGCTTCGTCAATGGATAAAAACTAAGCACCTAGGAATATACTCGTATTTAGATCGTTCGAAAGCTTTTGACGTCTGATTGACCAAAACAGTTTACTTTAAAAATTATTTTTTCATGGAATTCGTTGTATTGTCTTAGATTGAATATCCTCGTTCCTTTAACATATATAACAAAAAGTAGAAATACTTTATTGGAACGAAAGATTACTATTTACAAATCTTTTCAATTCTGAGCCAATTGAGCATGGGGTTCCGCTGGTTTGTGTCACAGTTCCCATCCTCTTCTAAAAAGTAACCGACATCTCCTGGTTCATTAAAAATGGAATACCAGTTGTATTTGGCTGATGAACCGAATATTTTTTGTAAAAAGTAAGCAATAAGTAGTTTCGGATGTTTCTAATCTGTTTCGTAATAATAAATTAATAGTAATAAAAACAAATTACGTAAAACACCGGTTTTGCTGGAGTTTTGCATTTAAAACATGGAATTGACTGATATTAAGGTAACAACACTTTTGGGTTTCTCAATTCAGTCAAGCTTCGAATGGAGTATCCATGTAAATGAATCGAACACTGAATTGAGTGCAGACTTCTTTCTATCTCATTCCTTCATGCACATCGTTGCGTGCATTTGCCGAATGTAGTTCATTCCCGCCTGAGTACAGCATAATAATAGGGGAAGCACATCCCACAGTACCCAGACTTTAAGATTTCAGAAAAAAATATACCAATAATAAGCAAATGCCATATTCGTGATTTTCGCAAGTCTGTCTGTATTGAGATTGGATTGCCTTATTTACCTATCGGTATTTTGCCAAAACTGACCTACCTAGAAGTAGAAACATATTTTATTGTATAGGCAAGGAACATACATATCAGATGTCAGTATCATCAGGTCATACTAGGAAATTATTTTACAACACATTGTCATATGACATTAAACAATTAAAATCAACACACAAGGTTATGTGGAGAACACAATGCCTGCCAAAAAGAAAAATATCGTTTATTTTAACAATGATAATATGTAATTCATACTGAATATTTGTACTGTACAAAATTAAGAAGAAAAAAGGTGTATCCAGTAATGCTCTTCAGCTGCGGGGTCAATGGTCCCATCTCACTCACGTTTTTCGCCAGTTTCCCTGATCCATTGAGCAAATTCTGTGATGGTCCTTTGTTTTGCTTCTGAGCATCACTACGTGCATGTTGAACGCTCCTTTTGTAGTTGGAATGAGAGTTGAACTGCGGGCGTGGGTTGTTATTTTGTTAGAAATAATGGATTTGGAACAAACATATCTAGTTTTTCAAATGTTGCTTTATCGTTAATTTTATTTATCAATCAATAATGTGCAGTAAAGGGGCGAGAAAGATATTCTAGAGCTGAGGAAAACGTGAAAATTGCACTCACTCACTCATACGTGGCAAATAGTTTTTAGAGTTTTTTGACGAAAATAAATTGTATTCTTCACTCGTGTTCATCTTTCTGAACAAAGAGGTGTATTATCTCTGGCAAATGAAAGCCAGCGTTGTTTTTCGATGAACCGCTCAGTATCGTTGGGATCATTTGAACATCTGGAATGTTTCGCAACAACTAGCCGTGCAGTATTCTGATCCACCGCTTTAATAATCAAAGAGTGGGGACGCCTACAAGAGCTGAACCCTACAAAACGTACCAGTTCTGAAAATATATGATTTAAAATAGTCCGTTCTAAGGGATGTTATGTACGAACAAATATCTTTTTGTTTCGGTTTCATTTTCGTTAAGTTGGAAGAGAGAGATCATCTGTATTTTCTGTGAAGTATATGCTAATTGTGTCACAAAGACGACGTTATCTCTAAAATAGAGAAATAACCCGGAGATAAGAGTAAAAACGGAGCCCGGAGATTATACTTAAAACCCGATGTCTCCAGATCAAACTGGAAGGGGAGGCAACTCCATCTGGAACCCAGCAAACAGAAGAAAAATTACGAAACCCGAACAAATACCGCAACGGGAGACGGAAGTGTTCAAGATTTTCAAAAAATCTAATTTTGTTTTTTGGTATAATTAAACCTCCTAGTTCATTCTCTATTTGTTGATTACTCGTGTCCTGACGATCGCACAATTATTTCTCGATTTATGATTCTTTGAATACGCTTCTGTTACAAGCTCAAACTATTTGAAAGATTGCTGGTGCACAGTTTTTCAAGTACTCCATGAACCGAAACGATTAGGTTTTTCCGAGGGTTTAAGCGGGGCTTTTCAGAGGTGGACGTCTGCCCTGATCCTGAGGCTGTGGTGGCTGGGGTCGTGG